TGATAAACGATTGCGTGTTTGTGTTATACATATAGCACTGTATATGTGTTTAGCAATAAAAATAAAGATTTGGATATTCTTTGTGTCTTTTACTGCAAACGATAAGAAACTGCAAAAACTTTTTTCTGTAGACTTGGATAGCGTTCAAAAAGTACTGCATTTGTTATGTTAACCCAAAATAATTCATCAAATGATTTATGCATTAATTGATTGTTTCAGTAAACGCTACGAAAAGCACACATTTTATAGCGATTCTGATGCCACTACTGATCGGAAAATGTTTTAAAACTCTTATATAAACTCATAAATTTTACACCAAATATTTACTTGTACTGCAATATCAAGTACAGTATATTTATACTAACTATGAGTTCATCGCAAATATTATTCAACGATAATAAAAGTTGAGTAAATAATTTTGTACAAAATTTAATTGTAAATCTATGTATTCATATATTATACATTATATAATACATATTATAAATTATTATAATTTATAATAATTATTGGGTTTTTGAATTTCATTATGTTTTTTATATCTATTAAACTCTTGTTTCCCAAGCATGTCTTCAAACTCTTGGACACTCTTTTCTTCCTCTTCGGTATGTTATCTCTCAGAGCTTTACTCCAATCGATGTCAAAGATCTGATAATTTCTACGAACAGTTTGTCTCGTCTTTTTTCGACATAAGAATAGATTATAATTTTATTTTAAAAATCAAAAAACATTTTGATTTTTCTCACCATTAAAATAAATACTGAAAAGTTGTCCATAAATTATACAATTATTCATATGAATTGTAAAAAATTTTGTAAAACTTTTTTAAGGATTACTGTATAATATCTAATATAAACGACTCGTAAGAAGTAAATTGATTTACAATTGAATCGCGAATTTAATAAAATAAAGTATAAATTAATTATACAAAATTAGCAATAGAGTTTTATAAAATATTAATATTGTGCAATAATAAATTATTAATATATTAAATTGTCCATAAAACATATTTGCATCAAAATATACTGCATTACAAACAAATTACTAACACCACGCACATGAACACTAATTAATTAAACAACCCTGCTGCTACCCTACCTACAAAACTCCAACTCCGCCTAATAATATTAATGAGCGTATTGTCCAACCATTTGGTAATATTGACCTTTTTGGGGCTCTTATATGGGTCTCACATGGCTGTCCACGGGATGCCCCACAGGGTCAAGAGGGACAGGGTGAGGAAATGTTTGACCATGGTGGAGATGCGAGGGTGACCTAGGACATACCGAGAGTGGACAGACACATGTGCATGGCTCAGGCAATGGGAGCACTGGGCGCCGATGTTGTATGAGTGGCGGACAGCCTTTCTTGAGTGCGTGGCGCACACGCTATACACTCCCAATAGCCCCCAGACATGGGCCCAAAGTGACGGCCCTACACACCGAACTGGCCAACAGGGAGGGCCGGTTAGCCAAGCAATGCCAGTCCACACCATAATCAGTTGGTTATATGTTCCAGAACAATTATATAACTTATTGTGTGCTATTTGATGATTGTTTGAAATAAACACACAATAAGTTATATATAATTGTTTTGAAGAGAGAGACACCGAAAGAGAGGTTTATCTCAAAAGATCTCATGATTTCGACGAAGACCTGAATTCTTGTTATTTTGTTGCTTTACTTTCGCAATCAATTCGTCGACTTTTGTTATTATCATTTGTATGTCTCATAAACTATCCATCAATTTGTTGCCTACTCTTCAACATCACATGAAAAATACTTACGGAATAAATAGTTAAATAAAAAACTATTTCTAAAACAAATATTTATTCGTAAATTTATTTTGCATACCTGTTAACAGAAAATATTTCTACACATAATGCAAAAAATAATTAATTAAAAAATTGTATGAAATTAATTTCATAACCATATGCTATGAATACGATAATTGAATGAATGTTCAAAAATCTGTTGATTTTTATTAACTAGTAAATTTAAAAAAAAAGTAATTAATTTCTACAAACAAATTGTTATAAATTTTAAATTTATTTATTTACTTTATTAAACACATTTTAAATACTATACAAGTTATAATTTACATTTTTATTTTATCTGAAAAATATGGCAATAATTATATATATATAATATAAAAAGTTACTCATTCTTATAGTTCATATCTTATATTATTTTTCAATAGATTTCTGTATCAATAAAATCATACAATAGTTTTCAACACAGTTTTTAGTCATCTTTTTCGACATAAGAATAGATTATAATTTCGTTTTAAAAATCTAAAAACATTTTGTTTTTTTCTCACAATTAAAATAAATACTGAAAAGTTGCGCATAAATTATACAATTTATATGAATTAACTACAAAAATGATTGTAAAAAATTTGTAAAACTTTTTCTAAGGATTACTGTATATATTGAAGGGAAAGACTATAAACGACTCGTAAGAAGTAAATTGAATTCACAACTGAATCGCGCGTTCAATAAAACACAGTATAAATGGATTCAGTCATACAATTGATGACCGATTTTGATTGGATTTGCGATTCAATTATAAAACAAAACACTAATAAAAAACAATAAAAATCATCTCAAATAATACATACAATTCATACAAAAATCAATAAATATTTTGATAAAACAATAGTAACTTTAAGATCATATCATTTCACGCCTAGACATAAGTCGACTGTTGATTGGACTCCTCGTCAAACTCCTCGCACTCGCTCTCGACGTCTAAATCGCAGCCATTATTGCAGTCTTTGGCCGCTTTCTCGCACTCCTCCACACCATTGATATTATCGGCCATCGAGTCGGTGGTCGTCGTCGTCGAAGAATAGGTGAGAATATTCTTCCGCTTATTATTACTCCACTCGTTGTCCGACAGATTCGGTAGATATAAGTCGAGATACTTTTGTGGGGACGACGGCTCCGACGTGTCGGCGAACGGAATGTCTTCATTCGGGCGCTCATTGCGCGACAAAAGCGGTGAACTCTCGTGACTGACGGCCCGCTCGATGAACGCCCGCTCCTGCGAGCCATTGCACGACAACTCGATTTGACTGTTGTCTGAGTTGGACTCCAAGTCGTGGATCTCATTCACTGATACCTCGAACAGATTCGAAGAACAAATGGGTTTATTGTCCGATTGGGCCAAATCATAACTGTCCCAATGGTAACCTGGGGTGATAGGGAGGGGCGCACAGTTAACAGGGTTAGTGTGAATCATTCAATTACTATACAGTATGTCTATAAAATTCATGCAATTATTAGGCAAATGGTTAATACCGTCGGCGATCTGAGAGTTAGTTAAGGAGGTCTNTTCACGGGACATATGCACCGGAAAGTGCCGGGCAAGTTGATACAGGTGGCCGGCGTCATGCACACCGGCGCCGACAGTTGGCACTCGTCGATGTCGTACTGGCAGTAGAGGCCGTGCCAGCCCTGATGGCAGTGACACTTGGGTCCCAGAGTGGTCTCCTCGCAGACGCCGCCATTTTGGCAGAGATTGGGTGAACAGAATCGCGGCACTTGACAGTTAAGACCCGTGAAACTCGGGCCGCACTCGCATTTGTAACAGTTGGCGACCCCCGTGCGGCACAGGGCCTCGTCGTGTCGACAGAGGCCGCCGTTCAGACAGGGGATGGTATCGCACGGACTCACGTCGATCTCGCAGTTGACGCCCCTGTACTTCGGGCCGACGCACTGGCACTGATACGACCCGTTCACGAGGTTATGACACGACCCGCCGTTCAGACACGGCTGCGACTTACAGATGCCGACGTCGGGCTTGAAATTACAGCTAAACTCCACGTTCGCCAGCGTCTTGAGCACCGCCGCCGACGATACCGACGCCATGTGTAGCGGTATTTGTTGGCCATTGATGAGGATGTTGTCGAGACAGCCGACGAATCCCAGCGTAATCTCTTCGCCGCCGACGGCGTTAGAGCGCGGCTTCACTGAACCGCCGAGGAATAGGTCGACGTTGAGGTCGAGACAGCGGGCGCTCCCGGGCGCGAACCCTCCGC